AAGAAAAGAAAAGAAAAGAAAAGAAAAGAAAAGAAAAGAAAAGAAAAGAAACACCAAGTGTTAGTGTGCTGCCCATTGACTCACTGGAGCAGGGCAGGCTCCCAGTAGCCAGCCCCTTAAAGAAACTGAGGTCCCCCACCCCACCTCCAACAGAAGCCACCAACTGTGAAGTACTGTACTTCAGCATCTTTGTCACAACTTTTAGGGACTCTCTTCAATAGCTTAATGCCTGAACTCTTTTCTTTTGGGTGGGGAGGAGGGAGAGGTTGGCACACACATCATCAATTCTCCCATTCTCAGTTATGAGTCTGCAATCATGGGTACAAAAACAGTTTCCCTGCCCATAGCCATAGTTGGCAGCGAAGATCACATTCACATGGCTTCAGGCAGATCATGGACATAGCTCACCCAGGTCTTTATAAATCCTTTATAAAGCCTCCCATTGGCAGTTCAATGGCCTCATCTTTCCTGGGGCCTCCTGCTACACACAAGTTCTGCTCTGCCCTCTAAATCCCCGATCTATGAATTTAATCCTCAGATTGTGAGACAAGACCCCACAGGCTGCCGATCACTGAAATCCATGTGTCTGTGAACGCTGGTCCCCTGACTTCTGAGCTGAGCCCACCTAAGAGCCGAGAGGCTCAAGCACTCTGGAAGACACTCCCCCATTCCTGTATCACATTCCTATTGATGGGTTTGTTCCTGAGCTTCTACTTTGATGTCTTTACTGGACGAAGAACAGAAAAGTGTGTAAAAAGCCTACGTGGGCAGCAACAGGGATTAGAAGAACCAGTCCTGGAGAGCCAACAAAGGCATTGCTGCGTGTGCCCAGCTTGTGTTGCTGTTCCCCACGTCCATACCATGACTAACCATGGCCTTGCTTCCTCGGCTGACCAAGGCCTGTCAGAACACATCAGTCGGCCCAAGAGACACAGTGTACTTGCTGCCCAAATTTTAGTAATTCATGGAAAACAGAGAAACTACAGAAAGGGAAAGGGAAAGGCAAACAGTGAAGAAAACATTGAAAAGCCTTTCTCAGAGAAAGCTTCCAGAAAAACAATAACTTCCTTGGTTACAAAGCAAGTTCCCTGCGTATGTATGTAGCTCCTTCATTAATTAATCTATATTTACTTCAGTTACTTAAATACGTCCCACATTTTCTTCCTAAAGTGTATATTTATCAAGATATCATCAGTAATTACAGGCCCTAAACTGAAACTATAACACAGATTTAGTTATTAACTAATCAATTATATCAGCCATAAACATCTAGTAAAATCACATTTTGTGTGAAACAGCAGTTGCTCGGCACGGCGGCACATGCTTTAGTTTAATTCAGTTTCCTGGGAGGCAGAGGCAGGGGCAGGTCTCTGTGGGCGGTTGGGAGGGGGAGAGTCAGCTAGGGCAGTGGCAGCGGCAAAGAGGAGACCAGTTACATTAAAAGTGACTTGATGCTGCTCTTACCAGTCAGCAGTGATTCAGAAGTTCCTAAAGTTGCTGGGGTGGAGAGTGTTGGCAATTTGGGCTTCTATTTAGGCACTGGATACAATGAGAGATTACTGTGCTATACTGACAAATATCGTCTGTATACTTGGATGAATAGCTTTCTCTCATTGACTTCCTTTATTTTTATCTGTGGATGGAAATGCCTGCTTATCCCCCTGGGAGTACTGAGTGCATTTATCTCTGGACCATGTAATATCAGATGTGTGAAGGCAATAAAATGTGAAACCCATCACTCCTCTTTGGGATCCTTTTGGTAGAAAAATTAATTTTAATAGAAATGAGTGCATTATTTCCCAAACTGTTGATATTTGAGGATGCAGAGGGCCCGCTCAGTGTAAAGAATCATGTGCTTTGACTGTTCTCAGTCGCTCTAAGTCGCCACACACCATCCCTTCCCTGTCCCGGGAAACCCAGTGAACAATGTGCCTGTCTACACCTAAAAGGCAAGAGCCCCCCTCACCCCCATCTTGGCAGCAATACTTGGAAATTTTAAACAATCTAAAAATCAGCTGACTTATATGCTTCGTACCCTTTCACAAAATGTCACGAATTCCTATTTGCAACACTAATGAACAGCCAGCAATTGTCTTAATTCCGTTATTGTTTTCAGCTGAAAGAGCGAGTGCTTACAGAAATAACGGGGCTTTCTTTCTTTTTATAGCTCTCTCTGGAGAGTCTGAAACGAGTTTAGGCTGAAAGACACACGGAAAAAGCCGCCTAACTTTTCTTCTCTCTGAATAGAATTCTCTTCATCCAATTGCCTCATTATCTATCCCTCAGCTGAAAAAAAAACAAGCAACAAGGGGAGACCTCAAGACCCAGGGACGGCACAATTTTCTGGAGGCCGCTCCGGCATTTGTCGCTGCGGCAGGACTGAATCACGTTTGCAATTTCTGAATTCTACACGCTGCTAAAAAAAAAAAAAAAAAAAAAAAAAAAAAAAAAAATGCCGAAGCTCTGCGGCCTTAAATGGTAGCAGAGTCTAGGAGGGCAGGTTTGGCTTTTTCCCGGGACCCAGGCGCAGCACACAACTCAAAACTACAGTCACACGCAGTCCCAGACACGGCAGGGCATGCTGAACCCCCGCAGGGACAGGAGAGACAGGGAACAGGTGCTCCCTTCTGCCGGAACCTACCTGCTTGGGTTCATTAAGTGACTCATGAATAAGAGAAAGAATATTTGCAACTTTTTCCTTAGTAAGAGGGGGCAAAGGTTGAATACATGGTTCTGTTCCTGCTGTGCTCAAGGAAAGAAATAAAGGAGATGTGACCCGGGTGCCAGGCAACATGATGGGGTGCTGTCAGCAACCACAACCAGAGAGAAGAGGGGGACAAGACAGGCGGAAGAGTACGGAATGACAAGTGAGCAGGGGAGGCAGCCAAGTCCTTGCTCTGTGCAGTGTGTCTTTTGACAGCAGTTTCCGGAGCTCTGGAGTCCTTGGCACCCAGAAAACACGGCAGGAATTTCTGTCACCAGAGTTACTTTCCAAGCATTTGTGTGATCTTTCAGCGCAGGGAATCACAGGAAAAACTAGCTGGGCTTGTAGTTAGCTCAAACTCCGTGTACCTGAACACCCTCCTAACTTAAGTGCTTATGTGAAATCAGCCAGTCGCCAACATGTGGGAACTCACCTAGTTAACCTGCACCACTGTGGACTCACACAGTCAGCCTACACCACCGTGGGACTCACACAGCCAGCCTGCACCACTGTAGGACTCACACTGTCAGCCTGCACCTCCGTGAGACTCACACCGTCAGCCTGCACCTCCGTGAGACTCACACCGTCAGCCTGCACCTCTGTGAGAATCACACAGTCAGCCTGCACCTCCGTGGGACTCACACTGTCAGCCTGCACCTCCGTGAGACTCACACTGTCAGCCTGCACCTCTGTGAGACTCACACAATCAGCCTGCACCTCTGTGAGACTCACACCGTCAGCCTGCACCACCGTGGGACTCACAGTCAGCCTGTACCACTGTGAGACTCACATGGTCAGCCTACACCGCCGTGGGATTCACACAGTCAGCCTGCACCATCGGAAGACTCACCCAGTCAGCCCCCGCACCACCGAGGGATTCACACAGTCAGCCCGCAGCACCGTGGGACTCACACAGCCCGCACCACAGAGGGACTCACACAGTCAGCCCGCAGCACCTGCAGGCTCTGGTTCTCACCTGTTCAGTCTGTACTGGTTGTGATATTCCCTCTCTTGCGCTGCACTATATTCGTTCTGGTACTTGAGCAGCTGCTCCCGCAGCTTGCAGACCTCGGTGGAGAAGGCGTTGGGGAAGTCGTCGGCTTGCTGCAGGCGGACCAGCTGCTGCTGGATCTGCTCTGTGAAGAGCTTGGCGTTCTCCAGCAGCTGCAGCTCTGACTGCTGGGTGCTGGGTTAAAGGGAAGGACACCGACAGTGAGAAAGTGCCCACCCATCCTCAGGACCCTTCCTGATTCCTGCGCGGGCTAGGGTGGGAGCATGTCCCAGCTGGTCCCCATTCCTGCATTTAGTTCACCGCAGCCGCGCACGAGGCCTGCGCTCCTAGCCCGTGCTGCCCACCCTCCAGCAGGGAAACAGGATGTACACAGTCAACTGCAGTGTTTGGTCATAAAGACTTCCATAGGTGTCTAGATCCAGAGAGTGGGGACAAAGGAGACAGTGTGTAATTCCAACGGAGCAGGGTATTCCTCTGACCTTGAAGAAGACCAGGACTCCCAAGGAAGAGGAAACGAAAAGGCAAGCAGGACCCTCGGCTGCCGGAGCAACCCATTTTTCTTGGTGCCTTTAATTTTTCTAAAGGTGACTGAACCAAGATCTTTTCCCCTTACTGAACTAAGACATTAACCTTTCCTCTAATGGCTACCACTGGGAAACCATGAAAATCCTCCTATAAAATTAGGGACATATTAATTAGTTTTTAACACTACCTTGGTGCCTGACTAGGCACAGACCACCACAGAGAAGAGAATTCCTACAACGCTGGTTGTATCCTGTGGCTTTGCCCCCGTTTGGCAAAGGGGCTGAGCATCGGCTACAGGCAGAACTGGATAGACAGAGAAACCGTACTTGATATATTCCCAAGAATATTCTAGAACTCATGCATGCTACGAGCTTGTATTGGCTTCACACGTCTCCTAGACGTGACTTATCGTCTCTTAGATGTGACTTATCGGTCCCCGCCCTGAATTCAGAGGCAGGCCTTTGCTATTTTCTGTTTTCTGTGTGCCGCATCAGATTTCCTTACCAAGAGAAACCTCTGGATTTCAGCTCATCTGCAGAGATGCCCATAACCGGATCGAACCTATCTCAGCAGGGGTGACTGGCTCCCCCTACTTTCCCAGGCTCCACTGTGTCATGTGTTGAGTGGCACCCGGCCACACATTTACTGGAACATGATACGTTCCAGGAACTACGGTAGGCGCCAGGGAACAAGCCGAGCAGTGCCGATGAGCACACCTCCAATTGCCAGGAGCGGAAATGGGATTTTCTCTCTCATGCTCAGTGTTCTTGTATGTTAACAGGCTCCCCTCTATCCAGCATCAACTGCCGGAGCTGGATCAAACCGCCATGCTGACACAGAAAGGAGGCAGCTCGGCAGTTAGCCAAAGCCAGAACCTAAGTGGCAATTCACACAAATGCCCTTGACGGACAGTGTCCGGAGAAGAGAGTTCAGTTTCTGATCTAGTCTTTGTGGCAAACACAAGGAGTGTCAGCTCAGAACTTCCAGCCCACGTCTGCCTGCCTGCAGCCTCAGCAGCGGGAGGATCGACGTGAGGATCGACGTGCTCCTTTGGGCTCTCCCGGTGGGTCTGAGACAGAGTAGTGGACTTTGTGGTGGGTAGAGAAGGAAGTGTGGGGTCAGGAGGAGGTAAAGTGTGACAAGCAGGACGGACGTAGCTCCGTCACAACACAGCCTGGGGTCTGAAGCAAAACCGAACAGTTTTAGCCCCGCACTGGTATGAATAGATAAGGGGTCCTCAGAGAGCTTCAACTTCCAAGGGAAAACGGGCTCTGGGCAAAGCTGCTTGTCATCTGGTGCTCAAGAACTATTTTCTGAGCAGACAAATAGCCCTGTTTTGTCACTTCTTGGTGGCAGAGCTAAGACTGTTCTAAACAGTCAGTCAGAAAATTCTTGGGACCAGGCCCCGGCTGCGCACAGCACAGACCACTGACGGCCCCACCCATCTGCATTCTTCCATTTCAGCCTCCCCTCCCTGCTCACTCACAAAGTCTTCTCGGTAACTTCTAAACCCACTTCTACTCTGCCCCATGTCTCAGAGTCCACATTTAGAGGGAACAAGAATGAAGACAAGTCCCGATCGTTATGAGTGAGAAGAACAGAGGTGACAGAAGGCGCCTCCAAGCTGGCAAGCAGCTTACCTCACCACCATGTCGTGGAGCATGGTGTACTTGGCTTTCAACTCTGCCATTCTGGTCCCAGGAAGTTTTCCCATAGAATGCAGCTAGTAAAGAGAACATAGGTAACTGTTAGCCACCACTGTCCTTACGCCTGTGGAGGAGATAAAAGGGTCTCACGTGGTCTCCAGCCTCTCAGCCGGACACTAGAATGGTTACATGTGCATCTCTGTGGTGTTTCAGAACGCTGCTGCGTATTCCGACGGAGTGGCCCCAGTCTGCCCCTCATAAGCTCTTTGCTCTTGGACGCGTCTCTAACTCTCTAGGCTACGATTTCTTCATCAGAAACTCAAGGAATTAAACGTCTTCTGGTTCTAAAAAGATTGTTCTAGGTTTAACATTTTGAATTGTGTGGACTTCCAGAACGGCCGCTTGTAAGTTGAGAGAAGATCACTGTGCATCTTCTGAGCGAGGACCATACATCAGTCACTCGTTCTCAGAGATGCCCTGACGGTCGGGGGCTGCTTTATCCAAAACCAAAGCTTAGCCAAAGATCCTCTCCAAGGTTTTAGTGAAAACCATCAGGACTTAAACTTCTGTATTCCAGCTTAAAAAACATTCCAAAGTCACACCCCTTGCCTAACATCTTTGAAGGCAAAGTTTACTATTTATATAATGAGGTATTATTTGTTTCTTAGCCATCTCTGTCTCTCCATGGCCCTTAGTACCTTGTGAACTCATGAAAGCTCAGTGGACAAAACATCTCACTTGTCTTTATAGTTTCTACATAAATCAAAAGTAAAGTCACAGGTGTCCCGGGAGACATAAACGGTCTTCATCTCCACTACTGAAAACAAATCTCTTATAAAAGAGAACAATTCAACATGAAAAATGTATTTGCTTCCTTCAAATTAAGATGTCAGGGCTGAGAAGATGGCTCACTCACTAAGGTTCTAGCACACAGGCTGAGAAGATGGCTCACTCTCTAAGGTTCTAGAAACACAGACTGAGAAGATGGCTCACTCACTAAGGTTCTAGCACACAGGCTGAGAAGATGTCTCACTAAGGTTCTAGCACACAGGCTGAGAAGATTGCTCACTCTCTAAGGTTTTAGAAACACAGGCTGAGAAGATGGCTCACTCTCTAAGGTTCTAGCACACAGGCTGAGAAGATGGCTCACTCTCTAAGGTTCTAGCACACAGCCTGAGAAGATGGCTCACTCTCTAAGGTTCTAGCACACAGCCTGAGAAGATGGCTCACTCTCTAAGGTTCTAGCACACAGCCTGAGAAGATGGCTCACTCTCTAAGGTTCTAGCACACAGGCTGAGAA